GGTAAGATGGTGAGCAGCTGTTCAACCTACAGCTGGGCTGCTGGGAGTTGCCAGCCCGTGGTGTAGGCTGCAATGGGGCTGGTCGGCAGCAGGTGTGAGCTTTCCTGAGTCACCATGATCGGCCATCCAATGGCCAGCAAGGGACTGACTCACCCTGGAAAAGCGCAATGATAATATCAACATGGGCCAGTAAAGCGACGTCCTCTACCACTAAACTGAAGAATAAAAGGACAGCTGGGCCGGCCAAGTGGCGTGCTGGTTGAGAACTGGCTTGGGATGCCAGAGGGCCCCAGTTCGGATCCCACATGTGAGGGCCAGTGACACTGCCCTCTACAAAAAAAAAAAAAGGACAGCAACTTGTCTGTTCCCCTCCCCCAATTCCCCAATAAAATCTTAAAAAAGGAAAAAAAAAAAAGAATGGAGCACTGTGGATTCTGGTATCTGCAAGGGGTGGGGTCCTGAAACTGATGCCCTGCAGATAACGCGGTACAACTCAAACTGTGGGGGAGTCAGAAGTTTACTCAGATTTTCAACAGCAAGGGGATATGTGTCAGTGTTCCTAACCCCTGCATTGTTCAAGGATCAACTGCGCAGGTCCAAAGTTTGGGAGAGAGGTTGAAGCTCGCTGTGTACACACTGGGAACCGTCAGTTGTACACATGACATTTAGAACCACAGATCTGGTTTTGTTTTAGGCTGAAAGGTGTCACTCCAAGGCAAACCTTCCCAACTGTCCTGTGATACACAGGCAGGCGCCACCCCCAAAGCCCCCCTACATGCAAACAGGCCCTTTTGTTCAGGTAGAAATGTGCCCTTTTTTCCTTGGCCCAGCTACTTTGGCCCTAGGTGACCACAAGGCCCAGTTCAGATCAACAAGGCACTAAAGGAAGTTTGCCAAGAGGCGACTAGGAAGGGCCTTATCCTCCCTGAAGACAAAAAGGAAACAAGGAGAAACACCTCTGTCTAGAGGGAGCAGGAGAGGCACTAAGAGAACCTCAAAGACACATCGCAGAACAATGTGTCTGCCCCACCTTCACCACTGAAGCCTGTTTGGGTGGGTTTTCTCTGAATGGCAGCTGAACCAAATTCATCTCTCCTGGGGCTGAGCCAGGGCTTGCCTCTACTGGCCCCGGGGCTGACGCCCTTTGGTGTCACACAGGGTCCTTCCCAAGTCAGTCCGCCTTCAAATCTCGGCGCATTCGGGAGACAGAACACCGCTGTCGGAAGCACAAGCTCCGGGCCTCCACAGGGCTGCGCTCCTACCTCGGATACTGCAGCTACGAAAGCCAGGGGCTCAGGAGAGTGACTCGTGTCTGCAGAGCCCGGAAAAGGAGGACAGCACCCCCTGCCCGAAGGGACGACCTGAGAGTTCAATGAGAGGAGCTTGTGTTCGCTAACCACGAACGCAACGCGGAGACGCAACGCAAACCTCCAGCACAGCAGGAAGGTCGCCGGGGGTGCGACGCGCGCGGCTCCACCGCCACCATCCCCGAGGCCCGGCCCCCGCTCGCTCCGCCCGGCGCATCCCAGCGCCCAGCAGAGCATTGCGCCCGGAGCCCTCAGCCCTGCACGGTCGCCCCTCCGCGGGCTCTGAGCACTCCGCGGGCTCGTGGGCACTCCGACGGGGACTGCGCCGGCGACACGCCCCGATTCGCCCGAGCCTGGACGGAACCCCCCACCCCACACTGCCGCCTTCAGCCAGCGCCCGCGGGGTCCCAGGTTACGGGCTGCTCTGGGGGGCCGGGAGCACTCCCTGCCACCCGCGTCCTCGCCCAGTAGATTCGCAGCCGGTAGACCGGCCAGGGACGGGACGGTAAAAGTTCTTCAGAGAGGTGGAGAATGACATGGGATAGAAACTTGGGTCTGCAGGAAGAAACGAAAAGTTCTGAGAAGAAACAAATGAGGTTAAAAGGAAATCTTTTATTTTTCCTATTCTTAATTAACCGTAAAGGTTATTGTTGTTGTTGTTGTTGTTTTATTGATTAATTGAGTGATTTTAGTCAAGTGCATATTGACACATGGCAGGAAAAGCATGAAAATAAAATGAACACATACGGGAATTACTATTAACATAAGTGATAACATCAAAACATCTGGTAAAATGCAGTTAAAAAAACACAAATGAAATGGAATGTAAAACATTTTTTCACAGTATTCAAAGCTTTTGTAAAAGATTTAGACTCTAAAAGGAGTGCTACATGAAGGAAAGGTTATTGTTTTTAAAAGTAATGATATCAACGACGCATTGGGTAGTCAGAGCATATGGAGGAGGGGCATAAATGACAGCAACGTCAGAAGGGACGGTGCAGGAATTGGGAATGCTTGCTTATAAAGTACCTATGCTGCCTGTCAAGCAGTACGGTGTTATTTGAAGTGGATTTCCAGTGGTTATTGCAAACTCTAAGACAACCAGTAAAATTCTTTTTAAAAAAGTAAAACTGATATGTTAAATAGGAAGAGAAAAGGAATCACATACAATGTTCAATTAAACTAGGAAAGGCAGAAAAGGGAAAATGTTTAAAAATAAACAAGTACAGTAAACAAGTACAAACTAAGTTACAATCATGGTATGTATTAATCCAACCATATTAATAATCACTTAAAATGTGAATGGTCTAGATCAGGGGTCTGCAAACTGCGGCTCCAAGCCACATGCGGCTCTTTGGGTACGTACATGTGGCTCTGGAGTAAAATTGAAAATGAAAATAAAACTATCATAGTTTCATTTATAAAATTTTTAAAAGATATTATTCACATAATAGTAGTTTCATTTGTTTTATGGCCCTCGAATAATATTTAAATTGTTGTGAGGGACAGGATTGGCTCTTCCGTCTCAAAAGTTTGCCAACCCCTGGTCTAGATAAACCAAATAAAAGACAGGTACTGTCAAAGCAGATAAAAAGCTAAGACCCAACTATACGTTGTTTACAGGAAACCCATTTTAAATATAAAGACACAGATAGGGGGGCCAGCCGACTGGCTCAGTTGGTTAAGAGTTGGCTTAAGAGCGTGAGCTCTGAGCAACAGGGCTGCTCGTTTGATTCCCACATGGGCCAGTGGCGATGCGCCCAAGCTGAACTGCTGCTGAGCTGCCAACAGGTGGCAGGATGACTCAGCTGGTGTAACAACAAGGTTGCCTGTTCAATGGTGGGTTATGCCCACCCACAAGTAAGACTGAACTCGGCACCTTGAGCTGAGCTGCCACCGGGATGGCTCAGGGGATAGAGCGTGCTCTCTTAACAACAAGGGTGCTGGTTCGACTCCCGCATGGGATGGTGCCTACACACACCCGCAACTAAGATCGAACATAGTACCTTGAACTTGGAGGCCATGAGCTGCCTACGGGAAGCCAGATAGTGACTGGAGCCCTCCACAATGAAAATTGAAGAACAACAACTTGGTTGGTCCCCTTCCCCAATTCCCCAATAAAATCTTAAAAACTAACAAAAAAAACCCAACACAGATAGATAGGTTACAGTTAAAGGGAGGAGAAAGGCATACCATGCTAATACTAATCAGGGGACAGTTGGAGTATCTATGAATAGATACCAGAATAGTCAACACAATAGTGAAGAACAATAAAGTCTAATAAGGACTGATTCTACCCAACTGTAAAACTATAAAGCTACAGTAATCAAGACAGTGTGGTTGGTGAAATAATAAGACAAATAGATCAATGAAACAGAGTAGAGAGCCCAGAAATAACCCCCACAAATATTGTCAATGGATCTCTGACAAAGGAACAAAGGCAATTAAATGAGGAAAGGCTAGCCTTTTCAACAGTATTGTACTTGAACAACTGGACATCCACATACAAAAATTAAAAAAAAAAAGAATTAACACATAGACCTTACACCTTCCACAAAAACTAACTCAAAATGGATCTTATATCTAAGTAGGGTTTGTTTTGTTTTAAATAACACCTAAGAAGGCTCAAAGTTCCAGGCAAGGTGACCTGGAAATAAAAATCAGACGGGCCTGCTAAAACATGATTTTAATTTAGTAGGCAGAGAATGAACTGTTTCATACTCTGTAAAGTGATCAATAATGTGAAAGTGACCACAGACAATATGTAAATGATAAGCACAGGTAAGTTCCAACAGACCCTCAAAATTTAATTTCATGTAATTTTCGCACATCATTAAATAGTTTCTTTAGATTTTTTTTTAACACTGAAACATGTAAAACCTCGCCAGAGTTTACTCCTTGATTAGTTTCATGAGACGTTTGCTGTTGTTTCAACTTAGACTTTGTTAGTCCTCTGTAATGTTTTTTTTTATTTACTGTTTCATTGATTTCTGTTCTAATATTTATTTTATCCTTCCTTCTGGGCTCTTTGGGTTTTATTTATTAATTTTCTAACCTCATTAATTGGGCACTTAGTGCCTCTGGTTTTCTTTACTGTTTTGTTTTTGTTTTTTAAGCTGAGCCATCCTGCTTGGCAGCTCAGCGGCTGCTCAGCTCAGGCTGGGACTCAAACTGCGACTCGAACCGCTGTTGCTCAGAGCTCAAACTCTTGAGCGAGCTCTTAACCAACTGAGTCACTCGGCCGGCCCTTGTAATATAATTTCTGAAGAGGCTAGGGGAGTAGGCCAAGGAAAGATAGCTTTAGTGTGTTTCAAGAGATAGGCAACAGCCATGGTGATATAGAGCAAAACGTTAGGAGGGCTTTCTCCAGTGGTTGTGGAGGTGCTGACAGCCGGGAGACCTAACTGTGAAGACATGCACTTCACTATAGGTCAGCGTGGGAAGCAACAGAGCGATCTGGGGATGTCTCATCATCGAAGGCTGGGTCCTTCCTCTCCACCTGTCTGGATAGGTGCTATTACCGCCAGGGAAGAAGAGTGAGATGCTGGGGGGTCGCGGAGCCAGAGCACAGTGATGTCTGAAAATACTGGGTCGTCGGGAAAGTCATGACGCATTTTTGCATTGAAAAACATCGAAGAATATGTCATGACTTTCCCAAAGACCCAATAGTTGCTTCTGCATGATTTGTAGCACATGTGGTGGCTGGAATACCAGGGAGCAGCTGTCCATGCCATCAGGACCTTGGACTTTATGACGGAGGAAACCGAAGATTTCCAGGAGGAGAGTAACACAGCCAGTTTTTGCTTTGGAAAGATCACCCCTGCCACAGGGCAGTTCAGGAAAGACGGGAGGGAATGACACTGCAGGCAGAGGTGAGGCTGTGAAGATTTGGTTACAGTGGTTCAGGTCAGAGCTGGTGTGCTGTAAAGACTGTTTTTAGGAGACAGACTGACAGACTCGGGCTGTGGAGGAGGGAGTGTGATCTGATGCCTGGGCTGAGAAGGCTTTTGGGAAGAAGTGGGTTCTGGCCAAGTCACCACGTGGGGTTCACAGGCAAAGGAGGCAGGAAAAAGCCCCTTTGCATCTGGAGCCTACTCACCACTAAAACCTCCAGTCCCCCAGGACAAAAATACATCCTGTTGTGTACTTTAAACTATGTCTAAAAAGTTTTTGATATTCCTCCTTTCAAAAGGTGCAGCAACCTCATGAGACCCTAAGCTAGAACCACCGAGCCTTGTTGTGCTAGATTCCCGACCCTCTGAAATGGCTCGAGCTATTGAATGTTGGCTGTTTTCAGTCGCTGAGTTTTGTGGTAACTTCTTACACCACAATAAATAACTACTATACTATCTGTGATGATCAAGTCCGACCCTCGTGAGGCCTCCCAGCCCAGGCAGACAGCAGGAAATGACACGTCCCCCGCCTTTCCCTGACCGGAGTCCCCAGCCAGCACCTGGGACTCCGCAGTCAGGCAGCGCCGCGCACCCCGGGCCTCCTGCAGCCCCGGGTGCTCCCTCTCTAGCGCAGCGCCCTGGAAGGGCCGCCCTGGGCCAGGCAGAGGGGTGGCCCGGGGTCCCCTTCTCCGCCTCCTGCTCGCGCTGTTATCCGGGCCACCCCTCTCCGCCCTCCCCGGCCCCGGCCCCGGCCCCGGCGCGCCCCCGCCTCGTCACCAGCAGCAGAGGGGACCTTGGCAGCACATTTGCCCAGAGCACAGGGCTTCTCTCCGCGCTCAGATTCAAAGCACACAGGGCCCGGCCCCCACCTGCTTCCCGCCAGGACCGGCAGCCCCACCAGGCCCGGCACCTGTTGCTCCGGGAAGTCCTTTTTTAAAAGTGCCGGGAGTTTTGCTGTGATTTTAAGTTTATACGTAGGCTTAGCTTGAGGAAAACCAGCATCTTTACAATACGAAACCTTCTAACAGTCACGTGGACTGACCCCCCCAGGTTCCACGGTCCTGACGCTGAAGTGCAGGAGCAGCGCCCGCCCCGGGGCCGCCTGCCCTCGGCCGCTGTTCGCAGCGCGGCGTCGCCTCCCGTGTCCTCACCTGCCTCGCGCTCCCCTGGGAGCGGAGCCTCGGGGGCCCGCGGCCCCGGTCCGGGCGCCGTCCTTCCCTCCGGGGGCCGCCCGCCGCGTGGAGCGCCTGTTCCCGCGTCTCCGCCCCGCGGCCGCCCGGCCCCGCGGAACGCTGCGCCAAGGGGGCGCGTTTCCGGAGGAGCGGAGACGGCCTCGGACCCCGGCTCTGCGTCGCTTCCGGCGGCGGCCGCGGCGCATGGCGGTGAGCGGCGCCGAAGGGAGGCGCGGGTGGCGGGGCCTCCGGCCGCCGGCAGCCCCCCGTGACCCTCTTGCTGCCCCCCCTTTCTCCAGGCCCCGGGACATCCTGCTCGGGAGACGCCGGCGGCCGCAGATCCAGGTCCCGCCCGCGCGCCGCGCAGCCCCCGGCTCCTCCGGCCGCTCCCCGGCGCCCCGAGTCCTCCCGCTGTGGGGTCCCATCCCGCCTGTCTCTGCTCAGGGCACCCCGCGTGCAGTGACGCCGCCTCCAGGGCGCATCCCGTAGGCGGTGAAAGCGACGCAGTCTTGAAGAAGCAAAAGAAGAAGAAGAGAAGCCGGAACGGTGCCTCTGCGTCTAACGGAGGCGGAAAGGCCGCAGAAAAGCCGGCCCCGGAGGAAGCCCCTCGAAGCGCGGAGGCCCAGGCAAGGGCAGTGCCCCGCGGGGTGGGGTTCCGGGGTGCGTTCCAGTCGAGAGTCCGCCAGCGGTTGCGGTCTCGGATTTGCGGACTCACGGCAGAGGGATGGGGTGGGGGGGTTTGGGGTCCTTTGCGATGGGTCCGCCTCAGCCACTGTCCCCAACCCATCACAGGCGGAGCAGCTGGCTCGGGAACTGGCCTGGTGCGTGGAGCAGCTGGAACTGGGCCTCAAGATGCAGAGACCCAGCCCAAAACAGAGTGAGGGGCCCTTCTGTAGAGTTGGGGGGAGGTAAACTGACAGTGCTGTGGCCTGCAGGTGCTGCCAGGGGGCGGAATTGTTGGTTTTGCGTAGGAGGTGAGACTCGAGGGGCCCTCTAGTCCTTTGTTTTCGTCTGCAGGGGAGCAAGCTCTGGGGGCAATCCGAACCCTGCGCAGCGAAAGAACCCCCCTGCCCCGGAAGAGGCAGCTGATGCGTTCCATGTTTGGGGACTACAGGGCTCAGATGGAAGCCGAGTGGCGGGAGGCCCTGCGGGCTCTCAGGACTGGTGAGGAGCTGAGAACGGGTTGATTTAGGGCTGCCTAGTTCAGTGGGGTCGGGAGGAAAAAGGGAGGGAGTTAAAGGAAGACTCCCAGAGCAACAGGTCTGGCGAGGGAAGGTGATTGGCTCAGGAAAGCTAGGGGGAGCAGGGAGAGAAAGCCTGGACCTCAGGAGCACAGAACTTGGGCCAGTAACCAAGGAGGCAGGGATAGGAGCGTCAGTGAATTTCTCTGTAAGTTTAAGTGGAGAGTGATAATACCTACCTTATAATTTTGAGAAGTAGTTCAATTAATTTATACAAAGCGTTACAGTTCTATGGGCACAGTTAATGTGAGCTAGTATCACTCCGTTCTGACACGCCTCCCTCCCCCACAGCAGCACACTCAGCGCAAGTGCAGCCTGTAGGTGAGGCTACCAGAAAGAAGAGCCGGAGGGTTTGCAGGCCTCGCCCAGCAAGGGGAGCCAAGGCAACCCTGGACACTCCTGACGAAGAATTTAAGTTCAATTTCTTTTAGCATCTCCGTCCATCCTGAAACAGTCCCCGTCCCCAGGCAGTGTGGGGATTTGTCCCCCGTGCGGAGTCTTTCTGGGAATGCTCTGTTGGGCGGATGTGGGCTTGGTCTGCCCCTGGCTGGTAGGCGAATGTGGTTTCATGGCTGTTGGGCAGGTGTGAGGGCGGTGTGTTGAGTACTGTCATACAAGTTCAAGATCCCATTTGGAGGATTTCAGATGAACAGTTCCTCCTGCCTGAGACGAAGGTCCATTTAAGAGAGGTTTCCACAGTAAACTGAAATGAGTGGCAGTGTTCAGGGTTAGAGTAAGTGGCTGAGGGTGACAGGGAATCTGCATAATTGCACTTTGGTGCTGACTTATGAAAGGGTGTCCTGTCACATGGGGTAGTGCTTTATGCCATTATGTCACATGGCCCTAATAAAAGCATTTTGTTATAAACATGGGTGAGTGAGAGTGTGCTAATTGCCTGTGTTAGAGCAGGTACAGACGATGCAGGGGTCTGGCCCTGCTGGGCCCCGGCTCTCACCACAGGGCTTGTTCCTTTGTCTGTACTGGTTTCATTCCTGAGCGAGTCTCAGGGAGCCAGTGTGGCCCCCAGCTGGCCAAGCTTTGTTCTTAAGCAGAGAGCTTCTTTGCCTGAGGATCCTGGCCCGAGACCTGGATTGAGCCTCAGTGGATGACCTTTCTAAATGTTGGCTGCTCCAGGTGGCAGTCCCAGGGCTTGTGTGGCATTGAATCTGCTTTTCCCGGTGTCTTCATCCTCCTCTGTGGCTTGGATGCCATCTTTGCTGGCGTCTCCCAGACTAGACATAGCTGGAGCCCACCTGCCTACTCAACATCTGTACTTTGTTTCATAGGCATTGTTCAAAACATTTCATTAGCCCCAAATCTCCCTTGGTTGTCTGCTTTTCAGTGTCTGGTTCTACTGCTCACCCAGTTGATCAGGCCGCAACCTGAATCATCCTTGATTACTCTCTTTCTCCAGCACATAGTTCAGTGCTTCAGCTGGTGTGTGAGCTCTGTCTTCAAAATAATTCCCGGGGGCGGGGGGCAGTAGGGTTCTCATTTTTAGGGGTAAAAAGTATAACTACTGTGTTGTACACCTGAAATTAACTAAAAAAAAAAATCTCCAATCTTTTGTGCTTTGTCGTCAGCGCTAGGCCTTCCAGTCCTGGCCTGATGTCTCACCCCAGCTGCTGCCCGGGCCTCTGGGGTTTAGTGTCCCTTACACCTGCTCTCACCTCCTGTCTGTTCACTCCAAAATGAAACCCTGTCCCCATTCACAGTAACTCCATCCCTTCCCCTATCCCCTGGCTACCATCATTCTACTTTTTGTTTTTATGAACTTTTACCTAATCGGGACATTTCTGTATAAATAGAATCATACCGTCTGTGGCCTTTTCTATCTGGCTTTCATTTAGCATGATTTCAAGGTTGCTTTGCGTTGCTCTGAGCTTATCTGTAACGATGCTGTTGTCTACGGATGCCTGGGGTACTCGCCTGGGCTGTACCACTTGTGTTGAGCCCCCGTAGGCATTTCCCTGACCGGAACCAATGTTGTGGCGGGGGGACCGGCCCTCGTCTTACTGTGATTGCAAGAAAGACCTCAGTAACAACCACCAGGGAACTTTGAGGGAAAAACAAGGTTTATTATTCACAGGCCATGGAGGGTCCGCGGCATGCCCCAGGCCACGCCGTAAGGTCCTGGGTGGAGAGGGAGCAAATGTGCGGACCTGAGGTTCTGCCTTCATAGGGGTAGACGCATGGAGTACCTTTGGTTTCCCAGGTTCACTCTTTATTGAGTCACTCAAGCAAGCAGTTCATTAGGTCAGCCTGGGCTGTTTAAAAGTGGAAGCTCATGGTGTCTCTGTGACTGTGTAGCTGGCCAAGTACATTTGAGATGGATGTCTATTTAAAGTGGATGCCTCAGTGGGTTGCCATGGGCTACCGTGTCTAGCCAGCAGCCAGCGTAAGCGGCCAGCAGCTGCAGTGAGTGGCCGTCCAGAAGCTGACAACTGATCTGCCTCGCCCGGGAAAAGCGCAATGATGGTGCCAACTTGGGCCAGTGAAGCAACGTCCTCCACAACTAGACTGAAGAACAAAATGACAGCAACTTGTCTGTTCCCCTTCCCCCAATTCCCCAGCGCTGTTCCCATCCCCCAATACCCCAATAAAAATCTTAAAAAAAAAAAAGTGGATGCCTCAGGATTCAAAAGCTGAATGCCCAACAGTTACATTACAGTGAAACAAAACAAAACCAAACCAATTTCAGGCACTTCTACCACAAAATTTCATGTTTGTAATTAGTACTGTATCAGTACTTAATTATTTTATGGCTGAAAATATAGTTGAGAACATATCCTTCTCCACAGAAAACATACAAATGGTCAAAACACACTCCCAACAGATGTTACACATCAGTAGTCATGTAAATGCCAGTTAAAACGACACTTGGATATCCCTTTCACACACACTACAATGGCTATGCATTTGAAATTACTGGAAAGCAAGTTATAATTCTAAACAACCATGTCTCCCACACCAGAATCGTGGAGGAAACAGCCACGTTTGTTAAACATCCACGTTTGTTATAGAGGAGAAGCCCTGTGCAGCCCCAGTTCTCCCAAGGAGGTGAAGCTAATCGCCCTGGAGCATCTGCACGTTATTAGGAGGCACTGTAGGGAGACTATCAGTAGCCACTCTGCCTTGGGTGATGTGGGTGGCCCAGGATGTGGTAGACACAGCGGGATTTTTAATTTCAGTTCTCTAGATCATTCAGCTACAAAAAACTAGTAACCCAAACAGGGTGGTATTGGCATAAAAGTAGATCAATTGAGCAGAATTGAGACTAAGTTTGAAGCAGCAGAAATCATGCTGGTAACAATGGACAGCTGTATGCAAAACAACAGCACTGACCACTATCTTACGCCATGAAGAAAAGCCAACATTTTTCCCTAATACGTCCTTCCTCTACTGGGTCCTGGGTCCTCTGGTGCCTGACACCACTCTCGCACCCACTTAGCAGAATTCCTGCACAAGGAGACTTATGACTTAGCGGCCACGATTAGCAGCTGTGACTCGCACGCGACCTTGTGCTCTCACGAGACCCTGGGCAGCCATGATTTGCGCGCAACCCACTTCTCTCGCAAGACCCTGGGGGCCATGATTCTAGCAAGATTCTCTACTCGTGAGAGACTGGTGATATGTCGGCCGGTAAAGGAACGCGCACCGTCAGGCAAGTTAAGAAAGTTTAACAGAAAGTCTGTTTTATTAAGAGAGAGTCTATTGGGCTGAGCGAAGATGGCTACAGCCCGGGCCTGCACGTCTAAAGGAGGCTTGCAGCCCTGAGGGGGTGAGTGAGGAGGATTCTGTCAGGTCGGCGCTGACAGGGCAGCTTTGTTTGAAGAGAAAATGCTGACTGTCTGTACACCAGTTACTGTTTTGTGGTGTTTTCCGTTACTGCAAGGTTGGCTCTGTCCGCAGGTGCAGGCCAACATTTTGTTTTCGTGCATACATGGCTCTGTCCGTCAGTCAAGGGACGTAAATTTCCAGCCATGCTTGTTATTAAAAAGGAGAGGTGCCGTTGCGTCTCTTCTGTTGCTGCTTTAGGCTGAACGGGGGCGGTGAGAGGAGGGGGACGTTGTGGAAGGGGCTGTTAATGTTGTAGGACAGCGGCTCTCAACCTGTGGGTCGCAACCCCTTTGGGGGTCGAACGGCCCTTTCACAGGGGTCGCCTAAGACCATCGGAAAACAAAAAGATATTTACATTGCGATTCATAACAGTAGCAAAATTACAGTTATAGAGTAGCAATGAAAATAATTTGATGGTTGGGGGTCACCACAACATGAGGAACTGTATTAAGGGGTCGCGGCATTAGGAAGGTTGAGAACCGCTGTTGTAAGAGAAGCACTTTACGGACAGTTCCATTTTCGAACGCCTGGAGTCGGCTCTGCGGGAATTGTGTAAAAAGGTGGAGGACGCAGGGCCTGAAGGCTAGGACCGAAAAGATAATGATTAGAGGCCTTATAAGGGGGAGAAGCCAAGAGCCCCAGCTACTCGTGGACCCAGAGCCCCAGTGCTTTCTGTGGTGGTCCCTTTTATTTTTTTGGGGGGGGAGGTGTGAGGTTGGCGAGTTCCTGTGATTAGGGCCTGAAAGTGTTGTAAGGAGACTCCTAGCCCTGCTGTCCCTGTTGCTAGCCCCCCACAGATGCCCAGTGACACTAGGAGTGGGTTGAGGTAGGTGGCCCTTTTCGGCACATGAGAGTGTATGTGGGGACAGGTAGGTAGAGATGGATGATTGGGGGCGATGTGAATATCTGGAGAAAGTAAAACAGTCACAAAGAGAGCCATGAACTTCTCATATCAGATGTAAACAACTTTTAAAAATAATTTAACTGTTTTTACCAAAAACCTAGATAAGTTATGGTAAATTCATGAATTTTTGCCTAATATTCTCCCTCCCCTGACAGGAAATTATAGTAATTCTGACAGTCAGGGGCCAGAGCTGCCATCACGCCTTTCACATCCGTGCTGGTCTGTTTTGAGTGAACTTGGTAAACCTCTGTATCTGCCCTGCAGATACTATGGCTTCGAAGGGAAGATGGGACATGCTTCTGTACTGTCTTTACCACAGTATCTCCCTGGGAGGCGTGGACAAAGAAGGAAAAGGTAAGAAGACTCTTCCTGTCCGTGAACTATGCTGAGGGGCGGGGGAGAGGTGTTGGTTATCAGGAAACTCGGCAGAGAAAGTGCTCAGTGTGTAAAACCATTTCTTCTGTGTGGTATCAGAGAGTGTTGAGTGCAGACCAGACTCTGAACCCCAGACACCAGA